TTTATTGAGTGAAAACATAAAAGTCCATTTGTCTTGGAAACTATAGGAGATAGAGCCAAAACACTGAAAATCTGTGATCACTTATATTTCTACCCAAAAATCGGTTTATTGAGTGAAAACATAAAAGTCCATTTATCTTGGAAACTTTAAGAGATAGAGCCAAAACAGTAAAAATCTTTTATCACTTATATTTCTACCCAAAAATCGGTTTATTGAGTGAAAACATAAAAGTCCATTTATCTTGGAAACTATAAGAGATAGAGCCAAAACAGTGAAATTCTGTGATCACTTATATTTCTAACCAAAAATCGATTTATTGAGTGAAAACATAAAAGTCCATTTATCTTGGAAACTATAAGAGATAGAGCCAAAACAGTGAAAATCTGTGATCACTTATATTTCTACCCAAAAATCGGTTTATTGAGTGAAAACATAAAAGTCCATTTATCTTGGAAACTATAAGAGATAGAGCCAAAACAGTGAAATTCTGTGATCACTTATATTTCTACCCAAAAATCGATTTATTGAGTGAAAACATAAAAGTCCATTTATCTTGGAAACTATAAGAGATAGAGTCAAAACAGTGAAAATCTGTGATCACTTATATTTCTACCCAAAAATCGGTTTATTGAGTGAAAACATAAAAGTCCATTTATCCTTGTAACTATAAGAGATAGAGCCAAAACAGTGAAAATCTGTGATCACTTGCATTTCTTACCTAAAATCGATTTATCGAGGGAAAACTCAAAAGTCCATTTATCTTGGAAACTATAAGAGATATTGCCAAAACAGTGAAAATCTGTAATCACTTATATTTCTTACTTATATATCTTGGAATTTCTCACTTATATATCTTGGAAACTATAAGAGATAGAGCCAAAACAGTGAAAATCTGTGACCACTTATATTTCTCACATAAAGCCGATTTATTGAGTGAAAACATAAAAGTCCATTTATCTTGGAAACTATAGGAGATAGAGCCAAAACAGTGAAAATCTGTGATCACTTATATTTCTACCCAAAAATCGGTTTATTGAGTGAAAACATAAAAGTCCATTTATCTTGGAAACTATAAGAGATAGAGCCAAAACAGTGAAAATCTGTGATCACCTATATTTCTACCCAAAAATCGGTTTATTGAGTGAAAACACAAAAGTCTACTTATCTTGGAAACTATAAGAGATAGAGCCAAAACAGTGAAAATCTGTGATCACTTATATTTCTACCCAAAAATCGGTTTACTGAGTAAAAACATAAAAGTCCATTTATCTTGGAAACTATAAGAGATAGAGCCAAAACAGTGAAAATCTGTGATCACTTATATTTCTTACCTAAAATCGATTTATTGAGTGAAAACATAAAAGTCCATTTATCTTGGAAACTATAAGAGATTGAGCCAAAACAGTGAAAATCTGTGATCACTTATATTTCTCACAAAAAGTCAATTTATTGAGTGAAAACATAAAAGTCCATTTATCTTGGGAACTATAAGAGATAGAGCCAAAACAGCGAAAATCTGTGATCACTTATATTTCTCACAAAAAGCCGATTTATTGAGTGAAAACATAAAAGTCCATTTATCTTGGAAACTATAAGAGATAGAGCCAAAACAGTTAAAATCTGTGATCACTTATATTTCTAGCCAAAAATCGATTTATTGGGTGAAAACATAAAAGTCCATTTATCTTGGAAACTATAAGAGATAAAGCAAAAGAGTTCAAATCTGTGATCACTTATATTTCTTACCAAAAATCGATTTATTGAGTGAAAACATAAAAGTCCATTTATCTTGGAACCTATGAGAGATAGAGCCAAAACAGTGAAAATCTGTGATCACTTATTTCTCACAAAAAGTCGATTTGTTGAATGAAAACATAAAAGTCCATTTATCTTGGAAACTATAAGAGATAGAGCCAAAACAGTGAAAATCTGTGATCACTTATATTTCTAACCAAAAATCGATTTATTGAGTGAAAACATAAAAGTCCATTTATCTTGGAAACTATAAGAGATAGAGCCAAAACAGTGAAAATCTGTGATCACTTATATTTCTACCCAAAAATCGGTTTATTGAGTGAAAACATAAAATTCCTTTTATCTTGGAAACTATAAGAGATAGAGCCAAAACAGTGAAAATCTTTGATCATTTATATTTCTCACAAAAAAATCGATTTGTTGAGTGAAAACATAAAAGTCCATTTATCTTGGAAACTATAAGAGATAGAGCCAAAATCGTGAAAATCTGTGATCACTTATATTTCTAACCAAAAATCGATTTATTGAGTGAAAACCTAAAAGTCCATTTATCTTGGAAACAATAAGAGATAAAGCCAAAACAGTGAAAATCTGTGATCACTTATATTTCTTACCAAAAATCGATTTATGGAGTGAATACATGAATCATTTATCTTGGGAACTATAAGATATAGGGCCAAAACATATTTCTAACCAAAAATCGATTTATTGAGTGAAAACATAAAAGTCCATTTATCCTGGAAACTATAAGAGATAGAGCCAAAACAGTGAAAATCTGTGATCACTTATATTTCTACCCAAAAATTGGTTTATTGAGTGCAAACATAAAAGTTCATTTATCTTGGAAACTATAAGAGATAGAGCCAAAACAGTGAAAATCTGTGATCACTTATATTTCTAACCAAAAATCGATTTATTGAGTGAAAACATAAAAGTCCATTTATCTTGGAAACTATAAGAGATAGAGCCAAAACACTGAGAATTTGTGATCACTTATTTCTCTCACAAAAAAATCGATTTATTGAGTGAAAACATAAAAGTCCATTTATCTTGGAAATTATAAGAGAGAGAGCCAAAACAGTGAAAATCTGTGATCACTTATATTTCTCACAAAAAGTCGATTTTTGGAGTGAAAACTTAAAAGTGCATTTATCTTGGAAACTATAAGAGATAAAGCCAAAACAGTGAAAATCTGTGATCACTTATATTTCTCACAAAAGGTCAATTTGTTGAGTGAAAACATTTATCTTGGAAACTATAAGAGATAGAGCCAAAACAGTGAAAATCTGTGATCACTTATATTTCTAACCAAAATTCGATTTATTGAGTGAAAACATAAAATTCCATTTATCTTGGATATAGTGTAAATTGATTTTCTCTAATCGATTTCAGCAAAATATGTTCAGTGGTTTGAACGACAACAACTGTGTAGTGGAATTGCAATTTTCATCTTCTTCATACGCATAGTTACAATGAATGCTGCTGCTTACTGAACTTTACATCCTTTCGAACATAAGTTCTATTGTTAATATAAATGTTGTTTTTACTTCTTTTCTGTGCGCTGTAATTAAATGAAATTTTCGACAAATACTTATATTTTACACATTGTTGTTGGTTGGTTACATTATGCCAAAGGCATCACAGAAATACATGGAAAACAAAAAAGGAAAGGAAGGAAAACCTCCCCCTTTTCTAATTGTCCTCAACCTTGTTTCTTAAAACTCATAAAATACATTTTATATTTTTCAATGTTTTTACCCATAATTACCGTTACGCGTTTAATTTAAGTGTTATTTTATATCCGTCTAATGCTACGTGTTTACAGTGGAACAGTGTTTGAAACTAATTTCTATTCGAAGCGGGATCATTGAAATCAGGATGTAATGAGAATAATTGAACATTGTAGAAGGAGGGAAAGGGATACTAACTAACATATTCCCCAAAAAAATCGTGTCAAACTTTGTTTATATTTCTTAGGGTTCCACTGTACCATGTATATAACTTGTTTTGAATGTTATTAGTTTTTTACATAATACTGATATTTTAACATGCTTTGTTGCTGTTTTATTAAAGGGATATAAAAAAGGACTAAAGGGAATAATAAGCATGACAACAACTACGGAAACATAAGCAACAGAAACACCGTAAAATACATCAGCAACATAAACTGATGCGTTTGGTGTACTTGTAATAATAAAAACAAAGTTTTGAAGTTTCATGTTATTAAAGAAAGAAGCTTTGTAATTAAAATATCTTGTAATGTAAATGTAATTAATTTCATTTAACGCAAAAAAACGTACGAAGTATGTGGAAAAAACTCTTTACTTTTTAATTAAGTGAATTACATTCCCCATTTAAGCAGCTTTTTATACCCTACACCACTTTAGTGGGGAGGGTATATTGGATTTGTGCTGATGTTGTGTTAGAATCGTTTTCTGAGTCGATTAAGCTATGTCCGTCCGTCCGTCTGGCTGGCTGGCTGGCTGTCCATGTAAACCTTGTGCGCAAGGTACAGGTCGCAATTTTCAAGATAATTGGATGAAATTTGGCACGCACGTTTTATTTGACCCAAGGACGAAGCCTGGTTAGAATGGTTAAAATCGGTCCATTATTTCACCTAGCCCCCATACAACAGAACCCCCCGAAAAGGGCTTCTGAGCTCATAATTATGTTAAATATACAGATATATCGATAAAATACGGCACAACTAAGTTTTATAGAAGTCTTGATGACCCTGCCAAATTTCATAAAGATCGGGCCACATTTGACACTAGCTCCCATACAAAGTCCCCTTCAGAAAGTTACTTGAATGTCCCAAATTAACTTATAAACACAAATATCGCGATGAAATTCAGCACAATAAAATATTATGTCAATATAAACATATTCACAAAATTTTATCGGGCTTGGTCCATATTTGCCCCTAGCCCCCATATAAAGCCTCTTTCAGAAAATTAGTTTTTCATCCATAAATTGCTTAAATGTATCGGAACAAGGGAATATTGAAGATAAATGCTTTATTATGAAAAATAAATCACATTTAATATTCATAACTGGTGTAGGGTATCATATGGTCGGCCACGCCCGACTATAATTTCTTACTTGTTTTCATATTACGTTAATAGTTGTACATAATAGACAATATATGTATATAATAACGTTGTAATCAAGCGTTTTTGTGTAATTTTAATTTAATTATTTATAGTAAATGTAAAAAAAAAACGAAAATGAAATTTAATACTCACTGCATCATTATGGCACTTTCAATGGAAAATGCATCGGTGGGTAGACCACATATATTCCAATTGCGTATCTCTACCGGTTCACCCAAAACATTAACCAATTGAAAATCTTGACTGCAGACTATACCGAAGGAAGCACACTTTTCAGCCCATTTGCGTACTTGTTCAACGCGATAATCTATGGTAAAGGGTCCCAGATAGGCCACCACTCCAGAAGAGATCAGTACATCTCCCGTCAGAGTATTATAGGTGCGTCCCAATTGTTTAGCCGTTTCCGACCATCTGGTGCGTTCACCACCCAAACCGGAGATTAATTCTTGGGCTCTTTGTAACTTTTTCGTGCAAGCTTCATGTTCTGCTTGTAGGACGCTATAAGGAAAAATGATCTTCTAATAACAATACTAACACTGTACGAAAAAATTTTGAAAAAGTCGAAAACCTGAGACCAAATTATACTTTTCTAAAAGATTGAGCCGACAAATTTTTAACCCAGAGACCAAAGTATACTTTTCTAAAGGATTGAGCTGCTCTGAATCCGAATCCGTTCTGGGATTCGAGTTATCGTGTCCTGAAGTTTTTAAAATTTTGTGAAATGTAAGAAAAAATTGTTGTGCCAAGCTTTAGGTCAAGATATCTCGAAGAAGAAAGAAGACATGGCTTTTTTATAGCTGTGAGAAAAGACTTTCAGATGACATACCACATTTTATAACTTACGTTGTCTTGGCGCTGTTATAACGTCTCAAAGATTACCAATATCTCAAATCTCAGATGTGATGCAGCTCAATCCCTAACTTTGGTCTCTGGTTTAAAAATTTTTCGGCCTGTGTAATTTAATGAAAGTTCAATCTCAACCTACCCATATTCCTTTAATTGTTTATCCAAAACTTTTTGTATAGCTGCTAAATTTGCCTCTACACGCGCCAATTGAGCCAATTTTTCATTTAAAGTTTTTTGGGCCGCCTAAAATTCAAAGAAAGTTTGCTATTTATAAAGACAATTTTCATTAAAATCTCACTTACATTATAAGTGGCCTGAGCCTCAGCTAATGCTATCTTCTTAGGAGCCACTACCTTAGCCACCACATCATATTTCGTTAAAGCTATAACCCATCTACACAAACCCTCACAGGCTGTCGAAGCAGAACGTATTTTATCGGGATCAAAAGCTTCATTACTTAAGACACGTTCTTGTAACTTCTTTATTACCGCCGGTGGTATATTATCCTTATCGAAGTTTAACAAACTATCCAAAAATTTTATATCACTTAACACCCGCTTCGAAGGACCCCAATAGTCTTCTATCATACCCACACCACTGGGATTGGCTATACGTTCCGGTTTTACTTCTTTCAAAATACACACTGCCTCCATAACAATACGCACTCCTATAGGGGGACTTTTCATGGTTTTAACTACCGCTATATCGGCCGTGGTTAGGGTATTTAAGGCAGCTAAAGCGTCATTTAATATGGGCAAAGCTTCACCCAATTTAGCATCACACTCATCTTTAATGGCTTGTGCTACTTTGGCCTGCTCTGTGGCTAGGGTTTCATCCTTCTGTACCATTTCACGTTGTTCTTCGGCCGCTTTACTATCCTCTGTTACCTTGGCTACTTGTATGGCCACAGTTTCGGAAGCTGCTTTTAATTTAGGCTCCAGAGCAACTAATTGTTCTTGCATAACGCCTACTTGTTGCGCTGCTATGTCCAGTTGGGAGATACCGGTAAGATAACGGTTTTTATTGGTCATAATGGAACTAAGGCAAGGGAAAAGGGAAATTTGTTAAATAAATCTAAATAAGGTAAATTAGAAAAGATCCAAGGATGTTGGAAGATTTTAATTTTTTAAGTTTTTGGAAATAACGTTCTATGAGTTATTCAGATTGAAATGGATCCAACATTTTCAACAACAAACAAGGTCATAAAAGTTATAATTTAAAAAATCGGATAAATTATCAATTTCTAAATCGAAAATACATTTCTCTTCTACTTACGTCCGCTTTTTATTCAGCAACGTCTTAAAGGTCTGTATCAGTTCCAAATAAGAAGTAGGCGTAACATAATTATGTCTTTTCAATCTCAAATAGAATGCCTCCGATAATAATTGTGTTGAAGTATGAAACTCCATGCACATATCAATAGATGCCTTACGCTCCAAATCGGTTAAATCTTCTTGAGCTAAAAATCGTGTGGACACTGCTAAAAGAGCATCTTCAGGCCAAGCCTGAAACCAATCGATGGTACAGCAATTAACAATGGAAGGAAATTTACGTATGCGTACACGTAAAGCTTCGCCAATGGGAGACATGGCCAGGACTATGTGTAATTGATCTTTGCAGGTCTAGAATTTGAAAACGAATGATAAATGAAAGATTATGGTTAATAGCTTTGAGTACATTACTGTCACAAAGAAATTAAATAAAGCCACTGGACTGCCATCGGTTTGTACAGCCTTATCGCGTTGTTTATCAATTTGAGCCATTTTCTCCACTACTTCCACCTTCTCTTCATTCGAAAACAAATTGGGTACTTCGCCGGAGTTAAGTAAGTTATTTATATCCTCTAAAAATGATTCATCTTTGATCTAAAAATAAAGTGTAATTAGAAAAACCAACTGAACTTTTAAAATCATTATAAAATCTCAAAAAAAAAGGATTAAAACAAAGCCGAATACTCCAGTAAATACTTAAAATATATCAGATTTTAATCTTCCCATTTCGCCCACACTTTACCTGAACATCGGTAAATAAAAATACTCCATGCATTTCAGAGGAACTAATTTTACGCAATATAACCTTGATATCTTCATGCCATTCATTCGGTCCATATAATCGAGATATTTCCACTTGAAACAACTCATAATCACATATATGCGAAGCCAAACGTGTTAAGCTCTGACGTCCGGAGCCACCGACCCCAATCAGTAGAGCATGACTACGTGGCTGCTTTATAATGCGACAGATTCTCGATAAATGTTCCACGGCAAAACGAAAGAGTACCAAGTTCATGGGTTTCTTTGACATATTATTATACTCCACCAAATAGGCCTCCACCACATTACGCAACTCCTCCAGATCTTGAACTTCGACATAATTCTTGGTATCCGCTTTCGGGTTGGTAAAATCACAATAGATTAAACGTCTAAAATCGGCTTCTGTTAGTTTTTGGCCTTTTTGCACCAAACGTTCGAATAGCACTTCGGGTGGTGTGGTAAAACTTTCTTGCATTTGTTCGCACAAAGCCTGGAATAACCAGGAACGATCGGCATCCTCTACCAAACGATCACCATAGACTCGTTGTACTTCATGAACCCAGAGACGTCTCATGGAATTCATATCTTCAGTGGCTTCGGGTACCGATAGTAAAACACCTTGTATAACTCTTGCAAAATCTCGTAAATTGAAGAGATAATGTGACTTGGCTGGTGTGGGTAAGAGATTGAGTTTAGCTTTATTATAGATTTTCAAAGTAGCATCAACAATTTCATCAATACAAGGATCGAATTCTTTTGAAAAACCTCTGTAAGACAACAAACGTAAAAATATTTAATTTGTATTATGAAAGATTTTTTAATGTTTTAAATATTAGGTAAATTAAAATAAAGTATTCCAGCAGATGTACATTTTTACACTACTTGTCTTAGTCAAACAAAGCAATGACTATGGTCAAGTCCATATTTTAGAAAATAGACTAATATAGTGGAGAATGTGGACTAGTTTCTAGTCCTGAATATGGAATATCTATTCTATTTTGAATATGGTCTATTCTATAGTCTTTAGTCCAGATATGGGACTAGTCTCCAAATCCGACATAGGCCTATTTCAGACTAAGTGAAATTCTATAAATCTGTACTAGTTCAGTCTAGTTCAGTTCTAGTTCAGTCTAGTTCAGTTCTAGTTCAGTTCTAGTTCAGTTCTAGTTCAGTTCTAGTTCAGTTCTAGTTCAGTTCTAGTTCAGTTTCAGTTCGTTCTAGTTCATTCTAGTTCAGTTCTAGTTCAGTTCTAGTTCAGTTCTAGTTCAGTCTAGTTCAGTTCTAGTTCAGTTTCTAGTTCAGTTCTAGTTCAGTTCAGTTAGTTCTAGTTCAGTTCTAGTTCAGTTCGTTCAGTTCTAGTTCAGTTCTAGTTCAGTTCTAGTTCAGTTCTAGTTCAGTTCTAGTTCAGTTCTAGTTCAGTTCTAGTTCAGTTCTAGTTCAGTTCTAGTTCAGTTCTAGTTCAGTTCTAGTTCAGTTCTAGTTCAGTTCTAGTTCAGTTCTAGTTCAGTTCTAGTTCAGTTCTAGTTCAGTTCTAGTTCAGTTCTAGTTCAGTTCTAGTTCAGTTCTAGTTCAGTTCTAGTTCAGTTCTAGTTCAGTTCTAGTTCAGTTCTAGTTCAGTTCTAGTTCAGTTCTAGTCAGTTCTAGTTCAGTTCTAGTTCAGTTCTAGTTCAGTTCTAGTTCAGTTCTAGTTCAGTTCTAGTTCAGTTCTAGTTCAGTTCTAGTTCAGTTCTAGTTCAGTTCTAGTTCAGTTCTAGTTCAGTCTAGTCAGTTTCTAGTTCAGTTCAGTTCTAGTTCAGTTCAGTTCTAGTTCAGTTCTAGTTCAGTTCTAGTTCAGTTCTAGTTCAGTTCTAGTTCAGTTCTAGTTCAGTTCTAGTTCAGTTCTAGTTCAGTTCTAGTTCAGTTCTAGTTCAGTTCTAGTTCAGTTCTAGTTCAGTTCTAGTTCAGTTCTAGTTCAGTTCTAGTTCAGTTCTAGTTCAGTCTAGTTCAGTTCTAGTTCAGTTCTAGTTCAGTTCTAGTTCAGTTCTAGTTCAGTTCTAGTTCAGTTCTAGTTCAGTTCTGTTCAGTTCTAGTTCAGTTACTAGTTCAGTTCTAGTTCAGTTCTAGTTCAGTTCTAGTTCAGTCTCAGTTCAGTTCTAGTTCAGTTCTAGTTCAGTTATAGTTCAGTTCTAGTTCAGTTCTATTTCAGTTCTAGTTCAGTTCTAGTTCAGTTCTAGTTCAGTTCAGTCAGTTTCTAGTTCAGTTCTAGTTCAGTTCTAGTCAGTTCTAGTTCAGTTCTAGTTCAGTTCTAGTTCAGTTCTCGTTAGTTCTAGTTCAGTTCTAGTTCAGTTCTAGTTCAGTTCTCGTTCAGTTCTAGTTCAGTTCTAGTTCAGTTCTAGTTCAGTTCTAGTTCAGTTTTAGTTCAGTCTAGTTCAGTTCTAGTTCAGTTCTAGTTCAGTTCTAGTTCAGTTCTAGTTCAGTTCTAGTTCAGTTCTAGTTCGTTCTAGTTCAGTTCTAGTTGAGTTCTAGTTGAGTTCTAGTTGAGTTCTAGTTCAGTTCTAGTTCAGTTCTAGTTGAGTTCTAGTTCAGTTCTAGTTCAGTTCTAGTTCAGTTCTAGTTCAGTTCTAGTTCAGTTCTAGTTCAGTTCTCGTTCAGTTCTAGTTCAGTTCTAGTTCAGTTTTAGTTCAGACCATGTTTGCATGTACAAGATGCTTTAACATTAAATATATTTAAAGGAAAAGCCCAAAATATTCCGTTTCCCTAAAAATACTACCTCATAAAACATCAATATTTCATTTACTAAAATAAACCATAGCCAGTGACTAAAAGTAATTTTTTCTTTAGAAATATTTAGTTATACAACTAAGAAAAAAACATGTAATAGTAATAATATTTTCCGAAAACAATTCTAGTCACATCAGAATAAATACTCCCAAATGATTTTGCGTTTCTATTCGTATTGCGTATTAAAGAAAATACCTGATGTAACGTTACACAATTAACTGTGTAGAGTAATAATAGACAGTCAGCCAACCAACTACAACATTTACTTCCCCAAGCACTTATAAATATTATTAGATTTAATAAAGACCACTACGTGAGGTTACACTTTCTCGCAATTTTACTCAACACCTTAGAAAAAGTAAAGATGATTTGGCTTAACTTACCTGGTGTCCAGATGCCATAAAACAATTTTACTAAAAATGGTCTTTAAGATGTCATCATTAAATTCATCAATGGACAAGACGTTAAAGTGTCGCTGGAAGCGAGGCGTTACAGTATTACCCGTTGAGGGCGGGCCCATGGCACAAATCATTTGCAGATCGATTAATTTCATGGGTAATATAGATTTACGATCATACCACATCCAATGATCCAACATCATGCGCAATAGTTCTATAGGAGGTTGGGCTCCATAGTTCTCCTTCAGAGGCATGGATACATCATCCACAAATATAACGAACTTTTTATTTAATGGAGGTCCAAAAACACCCTTACGTCTTTTATCCAATTTAGACATAACAATATCTTGTGTCTGATTTGCTGAAGTTTGAGCCGAGAAATTTATGAGTAAAGGTTTGTAGACATTCAAATCCATTTTCTTGAGCATATAGTCGATAATATAGCAACTCTTGCCTGTTCCCGTAGGACCCACAAACATAACCGGTTTCGAATGTCTTACCAATAGATCCAAAAGCATAGTCATGCGTACATTTTCATTGGTGGTAATAATGATTTGATTAACTGGTATATCTCGTGGTATAGGAGCCGCAGCAGTGACATCATCCTGCCAAGCTCGCCATTTTCCTTTGCCTTCTTTAATAAATCTATAATCGAAGACTGAACCCTGTTTGGGTATGGGAAATATAAAGGGTTTTGCTAAAACGGGTACATGCAACTCTTCTGGTATACCGAAATCTTCATAAAGATTCTCGGGGAAATTTTTTTCCATTAAAGCACGAAATACTAGATTAAATTTATCCCTGCTATTCGCATCCAAAGAACCACCAATAGACCATATGCAGGAAAATAAAAATACACCCTCGATCTGAGCTCTCATATCTAAATCCGATATATTCTGTACATATTTCTCATCCTTAAAATCATCCAGGAAGCAATCGAATATATTCATTAGTGATGTCATCAAATTGGCATCTGAGGTGGGGGCAATTTCAAAGAGATTTGCTTTTCTCACTATAAACAGGAGTATGGGACAAAAACGATTGACCAGGGAAGTTATTAACTGCTTAGCTACGGCATGAAAACTAGCTGGTAATTTATTTTTCCAAGAAGTAACTAAAGGTTCCCAACCCAATGAGGTGGGCTCTAAATAAATCATGCCACATCGTGACACGGTTGCTGGGGAAGCTACCTCCAAATCCATGGGTTCAAATATTAAATTCGTTGTGGGTGATAGTTGTATAATTTCACCAGACATTAGACATAGTTTCTTGTTGTCATCTAATACCGTATTCATGTTTTCAATCCATATAGCATCCACAGGACCATCAAAAATCAACCATTTACGATCTGGTGTATCAGAGACGGCAAATTGTCTATAGCTTACCGCCAAAACGCCATCACTCCATTCATGTGAAACCATATCGAATTGCCCATAAAGTTGACCCATTGTAATGGCTTTGGGATTAATAACCGTGAAAATGGCTCGATTTTCACCGGCATTCTGAAAAGAAATGGAACAAGGTGTTTAAATTTTCTAATTTTCTTCGATAAACATATGTATACATATTATGCTATACTATAAACATGTATCCTAGAACTGAACTAGAACTGAACTAGAACTGAACTAGAACTGAACTAGAACTAGAACTGAACTAGAACTGAACTAGAACTGAACTAGAACTGAACTAGAACTGAACTAGAACTGAACTAGAACAGAACTGAACTAGAACGAACTGAACTAGAATGAACTAGAACTGAACTAGAACTGAACTAGAACTGAACTAGAACTGAACTAGAACTGAACTAGAACTGAACTAGAACTGAACTAGAACTGAACTAGAACTGAACTAGAACTGAACTAGAACTGAACTAGAACTGAACTAGAACTGAACTAGAACTGAACTAGAACTGAACTAGAACTGAACTAGAACTGAACTAGAACTGAACTAGAACTGAACTAGAACTGAACTAGAACTGAACTAGAACTGAACTAGAACTGAACTAGAACTGAACTAGAACTGAACTAGAACTGAACTAGAACTGAACTAGAACTGAACTAGAACTGAACTAGAACTGAACTAGAACTGAACTAGAACTGAACTAAACTGAACTAGAACTGAACTAGAACTGAACTAGAACTGAACTAGAACTGAACTAGAACTGAATAGAAACTGAACTAGAACTGAACTAGAACTGAACTAGAAACTGAACGGAACTAGAACTGAACTAGAACTGAACTAGAACTGAACTAGAACTGAACTAGAACTGAACTAGAACTGAACTAGAACTGAACTAGAACTGAACTAGAACTGAACTAGAACTGAACTAGACTAGAACTGAACTAGAACTGAACTAGAACTGAACTAGAACTGAACTAGAACTGAACTAGAACTGAACTAGAACTGAACTAGAACTGAACTAGAACTGAAATAAAACTGAACTAGAACTGAACTAGAACTGAACTGAACTGAACTAGAACTGAACTAGAACTGAACTAGAACTGAACTAGAACTGAACTAGAACTGAACTAGAACTGAACTAGAACTGAACTAGAACTGAACTAGAACTGAACTAGAACTGAACTAGAACTGAACTAGAACTGAACTAGAACTGAACTAGAACTGAACTAGAACTGAACTAGAACTGAACTAGAACTGAACTAGAACTGAACTAGAACTGAACTAGAACTGAACTAGAAGATAGACTGAACTAGAACTGAACTACTGAACTAGAACTGAACTAGAAGAACTAGAACTGAACTAGAACTGAACTAGAACTGAACTAGAACTGAACTAGAACTGAACTAGAACTGAACTAGAACTGAACTAGAACTGAACTAGAACTGAACTAGAACTGACTGAACTAGAACTGAACTAGAACTGAACTAGAACAGAACTAGAACTGAACTAAACTAGAACTGAACTAAACTAGAACTGAACTGAACTGACTAAACTGAACTAGAACTGAACTAGAACTGAACTAGAACTGAAAAACAGAGAACTAGAACTGAACTAGAACTGAACTAGAACTGAACTAGAACTGAACTAGAACTGAACTAGAACTGAACTAGAACTGAACTAGAACTGAACTAGAACTGAACTAGAACTGAACTAGAACTGAACTAGAACTGAACTAGAACTGAACTAGAACTGAACTAGAACTGAACTAGAACTGAACTAGAACTGAACTAGAACTGAACTAGAACTGAACTAGAACTGAACTAGAACTGAACTAGAACTGAACTAGAACTGAACTAGAACTGAACTAGAACTGAACTAGAACTGAACTAGAACTGAACTAGAACTGAACTAGAACTGAACTAGAACTGAACTAGAACTGAACTAGAACTGAACTAGAACTGAACTAGAACTGAACTAGAACTGAACTAGAACTGAACTAGAACTGAACTAGAACTGAACTAGAACTGAATTAGAACTGAACTAGAACTGAACTAGAACTGAAGTAGAACTGAACTAAACTGAACTAGAACTGAACTAGAACTGAACTAGAACTGAACTAGAACTGAACTAGAACTGAACTAGAACTGAACTAGAACTGAAATAGAACTGAACTAGAACTGAACTAGAACTGAACTAGAACTGAACTAGAACTGAACTAGAACTGAACTAGAACTGAACTAGAACTGAACTAGAACTGAACTAGAACTGAACTAGAACAACTAGAATTGAACTAGAACTGAACTAGAACTGAACTAGAACTGAACTAGAATGAACTAGAACTGAACTAGAACTGAACTAGAACTGAACTAGAACTGAACTAGAACTGAACTAGAACTGAACTAGAACTGAACTAGAACTGAACTAGAACTGAACTAGAACTGAACTAGAACTGAACTAGAACTGAACTAGAACTGAACTAGAACTGAACTAGAACTGAACTAGAACTGAACTAGAACTGAACTAGAACTGAACTAGAACTGAACTAGAACTGAACTAGAACTGAACTAGAACTGAACTAGAACTGTACTAGAACTGAACTAGAACTGAACTAGAACGAACAAGAACTGAACTAGAACTGAACTAGAACTGAACTAGAACTGAACTAGAACTGAACTAGAACTGAACTAGAACTGAACTAGAACTGAAACTAGAACTGAACTAGAACTGACTAGAACTGAACTAGAAACTGAACTAGAACTGAACTAGAACTGAACTAGAACTGAACTAGAACTGAACTAGAACTGAACTAGAACTGAACTAACTGAACTAGAATTGAACTAGAACTGAACTAGAACTGAACTGGAACTGAACTAGAACTGAACTAAACTGAACTAGAACTGAACTGAACTGAACTAGAACTGAACTAGAATAGAACTGAACTAGAACTGAACTAGAACCGAACTAGAACTGAACAAGAGCTGAACTAGAACTTATCTATAACTTAACTAGAACTGAACTGTTGTCCAACTACCTCTGTTTCTAAATCAATGTATATCGCTCGATGCTATTCGAATATAATAAAGACAATTATAGCGATATGTTTTTCAGAAAGCGCCTATAAATATATCAAAAGCATTACATACCCTCTTTTCCATACACTCTAAAGTTTCGGCCAGTATTCTGTAACAGGTTGTCTTGCCGCCAAAAGGTAACCCACCAGCATTAAAACCATGTCTTACCACTATCATTTCATACAACTGGAAAAAAAATATATATATATATATATAAACTTAGTGAAAACCACTTTTTTAAAAAAAATCCATTATTCAGTCAACCTGTTGAACTTCTCCAAAAGAAATCGGTGCATTGTTTATTATTCTTCTCACAAGCCAGCTGACAACATTCATTTAACACCACATAATCTGACTCTGGCAAAACAGTACCCGGAAACAAATCTGAGGTAATGCCATGAAAGAGGGGAACATCTTGACTAAGAAATTTCGGCAAATTAACATCTTTAATAGAGCGTAGTACTAGAATATCTTCATTTTCATCCCGGTAGCGTAGTTTTAAGGCGCCAGCCGCTTTAAGTACCGATTTAACAGCACGCATGCCATAATCATAATGACACTGGGTGCTCAACTGTTCGGAACACAAACGATAAGTGGCCACAATTTTAACGGATAGAGGTTTAGCGCTTAAGAAACCACAGGAATATAATTCAATTTCCGAGATAAGAGCATAATCGGGCACCATCATGGCTACCGAACGGAATAAGGCCTTTCAAAATAAAGAAGACAACAATGTATTACCAGAATCAAATTTTTTAATGTTGTTTATACCTTCAAATTATCGGGTAATTCCGATCTGCCAGCATAGCCGGGATTCATAGTTATGAATACCGCACAGGTGGGATCCAAAGTCAAAGTTGTACCTTCGAACACCAAGGTAGGACTGCCAGAATTTATACCACGTTGTATGGTTAAAATTTGTTGAGCCACTACCGATAATACCTCCAAATCTATGCGATTAAATTCATCGAAACAAGACCAGGCACCACAAGAAGCTAAACCTTTAAAGAATTTACCCAAAGCCAGATAATCTAGACCATCTGAGCAATTGAAAACCACGCATTGTTTGGCCACTGCCTTGGCTAAATCTTTGGTAGTTTCTGTTTTACCCGTGCCAGCCGGACCCTCAGGAGCACCACCTAAATGCAAATGTAAAGCACTAAACAAAGTGCGGTAGCAACGATCGGTAAGAGGAGTGACCACCAAGCGTGTGGTGTTGCCTAAGTACTCATAGCCATATTTCAAAGAACAGTTAATCATGCGAGTATCCAAATTATTTTCCTCCCAATAGTAACGCAGCTAAAATAAGAAAAAAATTAAGATTTAAAATATTTAAATATAAAACACTTTACCTGGCACAACCACTGAAAATCATTTAACTCCGATACTTGCTTCTCCACTATCTCCGCCAAAACATCCCGGGCATGTACATCCAATACCACCAAGGCTCCCAAAGTAATACGATTTTGACCACTTAAATCTCCTCTTACCAAATCAACAATTTTACCTATCTGCTCAATATTTTTTTGTAAATAGTTTTGTAAACTTTTCTTAGGGTTATCGGACATAAAACTCTCCGTAATATATAAAGTCCAATAGGTTAAGGAAATCGATTGTACACATTGTCCCGGCCATACTAAAACCCATTCATGTCTTACACTTTGAGGATAACTGTAAAAGGCTTCACTCATTTTCTTATGGATACTCTTCTTCATATCAATTTCCAATTCCAGCAACCATTTCTCCACTTGACCTCTGGCTTTAGCGGTGGATATAATATCAACCAATTCCACCTCTTCACGTTCCGAGGAACGCATAACTGTTACCTCTAATTCCTCAGTGAATTTTAAAGTAGCAATACCCTCAAAGCATTTCTTCAAATGAGGTTGTACGCGAGTCGGATCTTTAGTTTCGGAAAGAATTTCCAACAGCTCATCGTTGGAAAGGAAGAAGAATCGTGGAAAATATAAACGTTTCTTTTCGAGATACTAAAAAGAATATATAATTTTGTATTAAGTTTAAAAGATTTGTTTATTTCTTTAAATACCGCATTTAAGCCTTTTTGTATTATCTCTAAAAGATTATAGGCCTTTTTCAGATTTTCAGACATTTTATTTATTTCCACCACTGTCATTACCCTGGAATCACTATTGACTTGCTTCATTAATTCTTTCCAAATCTTTAAGGAAGCGAACATTTTAATTCAAAAACTCAATGATTTTGAAATTTCAATTTATACCTTATCTACTGCACTGAAACGTCTACCTTCTTCGGGCATTTGTTGTTGTATATCTGGACTTGAGAATATGGGTTCGAGATACATCCAAGTTGCCTGTACTTTCAACCAGTCATCCAATATGTCTTGTAAGAGTATTAATTTGGCTTCCCATTTTCTGAAAAAGGAAATAAATCACGAAATGTCACTTAAACGATAAAAACAAAAGTAATGCAAAGCTATATTAAGATATAGACCAAGCTATCATCCAGTTGAATCAAGCGATCAGCGAATTCTTTAACAAAAACAGAGAATTCTGAGAAGTAACATGTTCAATAATCTCAAAAGACAATTATGACGATATCAGGATCCTATTAAGCGATTATGGACAAACCGAAGCAACGCCTTACGGGTGGATCAAATCCATTACTTTCAGAACTTTGCAAACTAACAACTTAACTGATCTCAAATATTATAAATAATTATACTAAAATTTGTACTTACAATATATCTTTTTCGAACGGTTTAATATAAGGAGAACTTTTCATAGTTTGCGTCTTAATAATTTGATCATCCAAAAGTATCTGTATATCATCAACAGCAGCCAATTTATATGTTCCAGAATCCCTTAAATATTTTAAAAAATGATTACATAATAATGTTTCCTTTTTCAACAGTCCTTTTCGTGAAATCACTTACCTATAGGGCGACACAGAAAACGATATATCCTCCCATTCCAATACCATTTTCGACATAGCTCTTTCTAAATTATTTTCTTTCGTAGCACTCTCCGAAATGGCCTCAAATTTGGGAACATAATCCTCTAAACCATATTCGATAATACGAGCTAAAGTTAGATCTGGTGAGACTTTAATGGGAAAACCAATAATTTCCGAAACTAATTCCCAATGGCGAGCCTTCATGCCAGGATTGCCTAAAGTGCTAATGGTAGGCATATGCTCACGGAAGGCTTCAATTTGATCTTTAATCTAAAACAAAATAAAAATTGATTTAAATAGGGAAACATTTTATTAAGTAAAAGATAAACCTACATCTTTTATCAATATCATGGTAGTGGGATGATCACCCATTTGCTTCTCCAATTTTTGTATTATACGATATATATTCGCCACATCATTATCTATCTCATCGGGATCAAAACTACCCACTTGTGAGTTCATCCATAAATCATATTTATCCATAAATTCTTGACCAGCATCGAAGAGAGTTTTATAGGGTTTCAATTGATCATGAGCCTTTTTCCTTATAATATACTGCGACAGTTCCCAGCCATAGGAAGTCTCCTCTTCATTTATACGATCTATAGTATCCATGGCAGTAACCAAACGATTATCTAACAGTTGAGCCTTACGTTTATATTTCGATAATTGTTTTATATCACCCCATTCATCATAGGTTTGCACTTGATCGTAATAAGTTTGTAATTCTCGGCGAAAAGCTTCTATGCGTTTCTTAAGTAACTCTTGATATTCAATAGTTTTATCGGCTATTATTAGGCGATGTTCTTCAAATATGGAGGGCAGCTTTAAGTACCATTGAAAGGTGTTGCTATTATTTTTAATTTGCAAGGGAGAGAAAAGAGTATGATCCATTAGCCATAATATATGACCCATATTTACACGTAATCTTTGCTCCATTTCGGGCACCACATTTTCTTCGGTATTTATTACATAGGCTTTCAGACTCATTAGTTCCGCTGTATCTTTGGGTATAGTTAAAGCTTTCTTGGCTATAGATTCATATTCCTTACCCAATTTAGAGATCTTGGCCTGCTGATCATTAACCATGCGTGTTAGTAATTGTTCTTGCATATAACGTCCAAAAGTTTCTAAATTGGAAATGAATTTCTCACGATGAAACTCATAGAGACCCATGCGTATAACACCCCAAACATCTTTAGCTATTTGATTTTCCTTATCTCGATATTGATAGACCATATCACAAAATGCCTCAAATGGTGGATCACCTTGCATAAAACGTGATATTCTTTCGGAATCCTTGCCATTCATTAGATCAATATATTTATCAAAATCTTGTAATCTTAGCTCCGGACCAATTCTTTGCTCTTCCAACAAAGCACAAATACGATTGCGTGTTTCGGCTATTATGGATTCGGGTATGGCAGGTGTCAAACAAATTTTATCTGTAATACGTAAATCCGTATAAAGTTTGCCCTCAATACGTGGCAGATTCTGTATGGCCAAGACTATGGAATCGATAATGCGTGTCATTTCACTTTGTATTTTCGAAAAGTTTGGATTAAAAACTATAACATCTTCATCTTCCAGCATTAATGAAATTTTAAAACCGGGATTGGTTTTCTGTTAATAAAATTAATTTGAAATTAAATTTTTAATTCAATTTCTAAGTGTTTCAAAACTTACTCCATAATCACATATAAAATCAGCAAATGTATTCAAACTTCTTATGCACATATCCTCCAGTTGTTGGGTCATTAGAGCGGCCACACAATTATAGAAACGTTGTATTAATCTTAGTTTGCGAACATCCGGTAAAATACCTTTCAAACTGGCCTTTAGTAAAATGCTATGAATTTCTCCATACCATTGTTTTTCCAAAAGACCTTTGGTAGTCTCAATGTGTTTGCCCACTGTATACTATTGCGGAAAATTTTTATAATTCAAAAACATGCTTTCTAGAATGCATGCATGAGGTCGAAACTCGTTCTTGTTTGGTGTCGAGAACAATGATTTATTTTGAAACTCTCATATTCGGAACCGATTCTGTGATTGCGTCTATAGTCTAATGTATAGTCTGGTCTATGGTCTGGTCTTTGGTCTGGTCTATGGTCTGTTTTATGATCTGGTCTATGGTCGTTCTATGATCTGGTCTATGGTCTGGTCTATGGTCTGGGCTATGTCTAGTCTATGGTTTGGTCTATGGTCTGGCCTATGGTTTGATTTATGGTCTGTCCTCTGGTTTGATTTATGTCTGGTCTATGGTCTGGTCTATGGTCTGGTCTATGGTCTGGTCTATGGTCTGGTCTAGGTCTGGTCTATGGTCTGGTCTATGGTCTGGTCTATGGTCTGGTCTATGGTCTGGTCTATGGTCTGGTCTATGGTCTGGTCTATGGTCCGGTCTGGTCTATGGTCTGGTCTATGGTCTGGTCTATGGTCTGGTCTATGGTCTGGTCTATGGTCTGGTCTATGGTCTGGTCTATGGTCTGGTCTATGGTCTGGTCTATGGTCTGGTCTATGGTCTGGTCTATGGTCTGGTCTATGGTCTGGTCTATGGTCTGGTCTATGGTCCTGGTCTATGGTCTGGTCTATGGTCTGGTCTATGGTTTTGGTCTATGGTCTGGTCTATGGTCTGGTCTATGGTCTGATCTATGGTCTGATCATGGTCTGGTTTATGACGTATTCACTACATATTTTCAAGATTGCTTTTCAAGATTGACAAGTGATTCTATATGCACTCATTCTCGAATTAGTTATTTTTGAATAAATTATAAATCAATGAAATATGGGTTTCCTTACCGCAAATTCAAATATTTCAAAAGGTGTTTCCATTTTAGACAATTCTTTAGCATCGACCAAAGTAAGTTCCTTATATTTGGTATTCCACAGTTCTAAAATGCTGGCGACCGAACGATGTATACAGAAGAGAGTTTTCTTAAGACGACAACGATTTTCATCAAACCTTCAAAATAAAGAAATAAATCAAAATTATAATAAAATATTTCTGAAAAATATAAATAAAATTTTATCTAAAATAAGTCTTATCTTTCATAAAAATAGGATTTGCTTAGGTCTAGTTTTTACGACATAGATTAATGCTGAATATGGTTTAAAAATTTGACATTCTTTTCCCATGTCATAAAAGATCATAACACTATTTTAAATAATTTTCATAAAAAATTAAACTTTCAATTTCCTTTAATATGTATCTAAAACCATTTTATGTTTTTTATATGTATAATCTAAGTTTAACCCAACTATAGTAACCACTTAAACTACGCTGTCAAATCTTAAATAAAATCTGCTATAAAAATCCTTACTTAAAACTTTAATTCCTACACTTTTAAATGTGTATTTTCTTTCATACAGTGGCTTTTTCCTCCACAGCTTAACTAATGCTCAAGCAGCATGCCCACCCGAAACGAAATTTAAACCACCTTTCATCATCCTTAACCGTTAGTTAGTCTTTAGTAAAATTTCTTTCTTTTTTTTTTTCTATTTTCCTTTTTTCAGATTTTAACTTTTAAATTTGTAACGGCATGTGAAACTTTATTATGCTTTCAGAGAATGGACCTTTTTTCCCCATATGTAGCAAAAGAAAAAAGACGAATATAAAGTCACAAAGGAAGGTGGCAGATTTAAATTATGCATATTTGTACGTAGAGTAAGGAGTATGTAAATTCAAATGGATTCATGAATGTATGAAAATTAGACAGTTCCAAAATTATATGGGAAAAGATAATGCTATAAATAACTACTATATCTTTCAAACATAGACTAGAATATGATCTAGTCATTGGTGTGGTCTAAAGTCTAGTGTATTGTCTAGTCTATAGTCTAGTCTAGTCTATAGTCTAGTCTAGTCTAGTCTAGTCTATAGTCTAGTCTATAGTCTAGTCTATAGTCTAGTCTATAGTCTAGTCTATAGTCTAGTCTATAGTCTAGTCTATAGTCTAGTCTATAGTCTAGTCTATAGTCTAGTCTATAGTCTAGTCTATAGTCTAGTCTATAGTCTAGTCTATAGTCTAGTCTATAGTCTAGTCTATAGTCTAGTCTATAGTCTAGTCTATAGTCTAGTCTATAGTCTAGTCTATAGTCTAGTCTATAGTCTAGTCTATAGTCTAGTCTATAGTCTAGTCTATAGTCTAGTCTATAGTCTAGTCTATAGTCTAGTCTATAGTCTAGTCTATAGTCTAGTCTATAGTCTAGTCTAGTCTAGTCTATAGTCTAGTCTATAGTCTAGTCTATAGTCTAGTCTATAGTCTAGTCTATAGTCTAGTCTATAGTCTAGTCTATAGTCTAGTCTATAGTCTAGTCTATAGTCTAGTCTATAGTCTAGTCTATAGTCTAGTCTATAGTCTAGTCTATAGTCTAGTCTATAGTCTAGTCTATAGTCTAGTCTATAGTCTAGTCTATAGTCTAGTCTATAGTCTAGTCTATAGTCTAGTCTATAGTCTAGTCTATAGTCTAGTCTATAGTCTAGTCTATAGTCTAGTCTATAGTCTAGTCTATAGTCTAGTCTATAGTCTAGTCTATAGTCTAGTCTATAGTCTAGTCTATAGTCTAGTCTATAGTCTAGTCTATAGTCTAGTCTATAGTCTAGTCTATAGTCTAGTCTATAGTCTAGTCTATAGTCTAGTCTATAGTCTAGTCTATAGTCTAGTCTATAGTCTAGTCTATAGTCTAGTCTATATAGTCTAGTCTAGTCTATAGTCTAGTCTATAGTCTAGTCTATAGTCTAGTCTATAGTCTAGTCTATAGTCTAGTCTATAGTCTAGTCTATAGTCTATCTATTCTAGTCTATAGTCTAGTCTATAGTAGTCTAGTCTATAGTCTAGTCTATAGTCTAGTCTATAGTCTAGTCTATAGTAGTCTAGTCTATAGTCTAGTCTATAGTCTAGTCTATAGTCTAGTCTATAGTCTAGTCTATAGTCTAGTCTATAGTCTAGTCTATAGTCTAGTCTATAGTCTAGTCTATAGTCTAGTCTATAGTCTAGTCTATAGTCTAGTCTATAGTCTAGTCTATAGTCTAGTCTATAGTCTAGTCTATAGTCTAGTCTATAGTCTAGTCTATAGTCTAGTCTATAGTCTAGTCTATAGTCTAGTCTAAAGTCTAGTCTATAGTCTAGTCTATAGTCTAGTCTATAGTCTAGTCTATAGTCTAGTCTATAGTCTAGTCTATAGTCTAGTCTATAGTCTAGTCTATAGTCTAGTCTATAGTCTAGTCTATAGTCTAGTCTATAGTCTAGTCTATAGTCTAGTTTATAGTCTAGTCTATAGTCTAGTTTATAGTCTAGTTTATAGTCTAGTCTATAGTCTAGTCTATAGTCTAGTCTATAGTCTAGTCTATAGTCTAGTCTATAGTCTAGTCTATAGTCTAGTCATAGTCTAGTCTATAGTCTAGTCTATAGTCTAGTCTATAGTCTAGTCTATAGTCTAGTCTATAGTCTAGTCTATAGTCTAGTCTATAGTCTAGTCTATAGTCTAGTCTATAGTCTAGTCTATAGTCTAGTCTATAGTCTAGTCTATAGTCTAGTCTATAGTCTAGTCTATAGTCTAGTCTATAGTCTAGTCTATAGTCTAGTCTATAGTCTAGTCTATAGTCTAGTCCATAGTCTAGTCTATAGTCTAGTCTATAGTCTAGTCCATAGTCTAGTCTATAGTCTAGTCTATAGTCTAGTCTATAGTAGTCTATAGTCTAGTCTATAGTCTAGTCTATAGTCTAGTCTATAGTCTAGTCTATAGTCTAGTCTATAGTCTAGTCTATAGTCTAGTCTATAGTCTAGTCTATAGTCTAGTCTATAGTCTAGTCTATAGTCTAGTCTATAGTCTAGTCTATAGTCTAGTCTATAGTCTAGTCTATAGTCTAGTCTATAGTCTAGTCTATAGTCTAGTCTATAGTCTAGTCTATAGTCTAGTCTATAGTCTAGTCTATAGTCTAGTCTATAGTCTAGTCTATAGTCTAGTCTACAGTCTAGTCTATAGTCTAGTCTATAGTCTAGTCTATAGTCTAGTCTATAGTCTAGTCTATAGTCTAGTCTATAGTCTAGTCTATAGTCTAGTCTATAGTCTAGTCTATAGTCTAGTCTATAGTCTAGTCTATAGTCTAGTCTATAGTCTAGTCTATAGTCTAGTCTATAGTCTAGTCTATAGTCTATAGTCTAGTCTATATTCTAGTCTATAGTCTAGTCTATAGTCTAGTCTATAGTCTAGTCTATAGTCTAGTCTATAGTCTAGTCTATAGTCTAGTCTATTCTAGTCTATAGTCTATAGTCTAGTCTATAGTCTAGTCTAGTCTATAGTCTAGTCTATAGTCTAGTCTATAGTCTAGTCTATAGTCTAGTCTATAGTCTAGTCTATAGTAGTCTAGTCTATAGTAGTCTAGTCTATAGTAGTCTAGTCTATAGTAGTCTAGTCTATAGTAGTCTAGTCTATAGTAGTCTAGTCTAGTAGTCTAGTCTATAGTAGTCTAGTCTATAGTAGTCTAGTCTATAGTAGTCTAGTCTATAGTAGTCTAGTCTATAGTAGTCTAGTCTATAGTCTCTAGTCTATAGTAGTCTAGTCTATAGTAGTCTAGTCTATAGTAGTCTAGTCTATAGTAGTCTAGTCTATAGTAGTCTAGTCTATAGTAGTCTAGTCTATAGTAGTCTAGTCTATAGTAGTCTAGTCTATAGTAGTCTAGTCTATAGTAGTCTAGTCTATAGTCTAGTCTATAGTCTAGTCTATAGTCTAGTCTATAGTCTAGTCTATAGTCTAGTCTATAGTCTAGTCTATAGTCTAGTCTATAGTCTAGTCTATAGTCTAGTCTATAGTCTAGTCTATAGTCTAGTCTATAGTCTAGTCTATAGTCTAGTCTATAGTCTAGTCTATAGTCTAGTCTATAGTCTAGTCTATCTCTAGTCTATAGTCTAGTCTATAGTCTAGTCTATAGTCTAGTCTATAGTCTAGTCTATAGTCTAGTCTATAGTCTAGTCTATAGTCTAGTCTATAGTCTAGTCTATAGTCTAGTCTATAGTCTAGTCTATAGTCTAGTCTATAGTCTAGTCTATAGTCTAGTCTATAGTCTAGTCTATAGTCTAGTCTATAGTCTAGTCTATAGTCTAGTCTATAGTCTAGTCTATAGTCTAGTCTATAGTCTAGTCTATAGTCTAGTCTATAGTCTAGTCTATAGTCTAGTCTAGTCTAGTCTATAGTCTAGTCTATAGTCTAGTCTATAGTCTAGTCTATAGTCTAGTCTATAGTCTAGTCTATAGTCTAGTCTATAGTCTAGTCTATAGTCTAGTCTATAGTCTAGTCTATAGTCTAGTCTATAGTCTAGTCTATAGTCTCTAGTCTATAGTCTAGTCTATAGTCTAGTCTATAGTCTAGTCTATAGTCTAGTCTATAGTCTAGTCTATGTCTAGTCTATAGTCTAGTCTATAGTCTAGTCTATAGTCTAGTCTATAGTCTAGTCTATAGTCTAGTCTATAGTCTAGTCTATAGTCTATAGTCTAGTCTATATTCTAGTCTATAGTCTAGTCTATAGTCTAGTCTATAGTCTAGTCTATAGTCTAGTCTATAGTCTATAGTCTAGTCTATATTCTAGTCTAAGTCTAGTCTATAGTCTAGTCTATAGTCTAGTCTATAGTCTAGTCTATAGTCTAGTCTATAGTCTAGTCTATAGTCTAGTCTATAGTCTAGTCTATAGTCTAGTCTATAGTCTAGTCTATAGTCTAGTCTATAGTCTAGTCTATAGTCTAGTCTATAGTCTAGTCTATAGTCTAGTCTATAGTCTAGTCTATAGTCTAGTCTATCTCTAGTCTATAGTCTAGTCTATAGTCTAGTCTATAGTCTAGTCTATAGTCTAGTCTATAGTCTAGTCTATAGTCTAGTCTATAGTCTAGTCTATAGTCTAGTCTATAGTCTAGTCTATAGTCTAGTCTATAGTCTAGTCTATAGTCTAGTCTATAGTCTAGTCTATAG